ATATCATTTCCCAGAAAAATATTTTTGGTAAGAAACCACCTTCTACCAGTTTGTATGCCTCTCAGAACACTATTCGACTCTAAATAAAATTGTCGCTTGGGAAAGATCAACTTATCAGAGAGAAATGCTTGCCATAGAAAAGTGAGATGCAAGTAAAATATAAAGAAATTGTTAGAATTATTAATATTTTTACTTTGTTATTTCCTATATCAAAGATTTAAAAAATGGATTAATATTCCTCTAAAATGTACATTTTTCTAAAATATACAATGCGAAATTGCATGAAATGGTTCGTCTCTACGATCAAATTGATTAGTATCCAGTGTGCGAACAAACACACATAGCAATGCTTGTTTCCTTACGATTCATATGTAGTAACTAATATTAGTAACACACTCTAGTATACTGTACATTATCAGTTCGATTTTCATTTGGCTTCCTTTCTCTGTTTGGAACATTTGGCTAATGTCCAAAACACACATATATTTTTTTCTTTTTACCTTTTTAGACGCATTATACAAATTGATTTGTGCGCTTTTATGGCAGATGCTGGTAGAGAAATGAATCGTACAGCGGTTTCTTCTTTTTTTTCAATCAGAGTTAAATGTCCTGCTGTAATCGAGTCCGATCGGAGGAGGGGTCATACATTTACACATGCTCCACCGTCATCGGACATTTAATATTATAGAAGGAAACATCTGCGTTTTGGTTTTACTTGCAGAACAGGGCATAATACTGCACGAATCGCTTCGTCGAATACTGTTTTCAATCCTTTCTGTGTCAGCGCTGAACATTCTAAATATTTCACTGCACCGATCTCTTTTGCCATTGTCAAACCCTAAACACAACATTACAATAGTCTTTGTTTCAAATAATTTTAAGTATAACGTAGAATTTAAACCATTAATTGTCAATTGATCGTTAACCCTTTACAGTAAATGCCTATCACTGTTCTGCAAACATATATATACTACATGCAGAGAAATCTTTTGCACACAGTGTCTCAGTACAAACTGCTTATCCACAAAGGGTTAACGAACGATTCATAAACTAACCACAGTGATACATACCTGGGGATATGTAATTGGTGCAAGCTTTTTGTCTTTTAATTTCTCAATTGTCTCCTTGTCTTCGCGTAAATCCAACTTCGTTCCTACTAAAATGATCGGAGTAGCTGGACAGTGATGACGCACCTCTGGATACCACTTGGCACGAACGTTTTCGAAACTGGCCGGGTTAACCAACGAGAAACAGATCAAGAACACATCTGTTTGTGGGTAAGACAAGGGTCTCAGTCTGTCGTAATCTTCCTGACCAGCCGTGTCCCATAAACCGAGATTGATTGGTTTCCCATCGACCATTACATTTGCTGAGTAATTGTCGAACACAGTTGGAATATATTCTCCAGGAAAGGCGTTGGTAGTGTAGCTTATGAGGAGGCATGTTTTACCTACAGCTCTGTAGACATTAATAGATTAAAGACAGTTTAATTGAATAAGATTAAGTAGAGATATAAAATTTGTGTTCGATTGGAGTCGAAGTGATAAAATAACAATTACAAGTAAACTTAAACACAAGATAAAGAGAGGGGGGAAATGACAGCAAAAGTGAAAGAAGATCCAAGCTTGAATTAACAATTACAGTGCAATTTCAAAACGAGCTATTACTCATTTTTATCGGATATTATAAAATTGATAAAGGTACGTATAAAAACGCGTTAAACGAAATATCGGGTGTGGTGCCTGATTTGAAATAGTTCTTGATCGGGAAAAACCAATGGTCAGATCTGTAGATCTCTAGATCGAGTAGTGCTAAAATAGGAGAGGCAAACATATCAACACGCGTTATAATAACGTTTAAAAATACTCACCCGTCCCCTACGACAACGCACTTAATGGCCTGCATCCTGAAGTTTGGAAACCGTTCACAAGTAGAAATATCCACGTAAATTCGCAGGAAGGGAGGCTAGTCCGATTCGACAGAGCGCGAAAGATTAAGAGAGACAGAGAAGTTGAAGTGCCATGGAACAGGGAGAGGAACATGAAGAGGGACGGGTGCGAGAGAGATAAATAAATAGTATTAAACGTACGATAGAGGAAGATCATAAAACGAAAGGTAGGGTAAGCTGTTGAAAGAAAGAGACGGGAGGAAAACGCGAAGAAAGAAACGATGTTACGGCGATACGAAAAAACGGAATGAATAAATGTTTGGCGTAATTTGTCCTTGTTTCGCGATGGGAACACGGTAGGGGGGGGTCTTTCATTAACTGCAGCACTCCTGACCTCGATCTATTACCTCAATTACGATCATGGATCTTTATTTACCCTTAAAGAATAAAAATAGTGCTTTTATGGACGCAAGAAGTTTTGTGGTGGCTTCTTATATTATGTATGAATATTACTTCGAAAACATATTGAAAAAAAGTTATTCGAACGAAAGATCGAAAATGTGTAACGTAACGATTTGAATGTAATCGACGCACCGTGGCGTATTCGAGAGAGAGAGATTTTTCTATGGAACAAATTCTCATGGGCTTCGAACACTAAACACTAGGTAACAGTGATAAAAGGGGAAAGTCACCAGACTGCGAGCTAACCTACTCTCCTTCACACCACGCAGCTCGAGCAGTTGAAATCACGGTCCTATAGACAGCTCTGGATGATACACCTGATACACCTAACGCATAAGAAACCACATATAGGCATCACGCGACACTCCTACACCTGCCCACACCTAACGCTCTTTTAAACAATTATGGCGTCCTTGTGCATTAAACCTTCGCGCATGCCAAATAATGGCTGCGTTCAGGGGGCTACCGCTTCTTCAGCCGCTTTGCGACCGCTCACAGAGCGGCTGAGCACAGATACTACACTATACAGTGTCCCAAAAATGTTGTAACATCTTGAAAGGGGTAGTTTGGGGGGTGATTTGAAACAACTTTTTCCTTAGCAAAAATGTTGTCCGAGACTTTATTAAGCAGATATTAACAAAAAATCCCGACCAATCAGAGCGCGTGTATACCGTTGGAGCAGCCGCGGTAGCATATGAGCGCGGCCGCCTATCGCGTAGCCACATCCAGTGATGGGCAAAACCCTAGACTTCGAATAAATCTGAAGTTTGCCGATATGTTTGTCTCGTTTTCTCTTTTGAACATTTTCCAAAGAAGGAAACGAGACAAACACATCGCCAAACTTCAGATTTATTCAAAGCCTAGGGTTTTGTCCATCCGATATGGAACTGACTGGGGATGCACCCAATGTATTCTAACCAAGATTCTATAAATAGAACTTGACTGGACTACTATTGGGAGAATAGTATTTATATTGTACGGTGTGAACATAGGTATGGAATAACGAGATATCGAGTTCTATTTACAACGAAGTTTGAAATAGCTTCCAAGTATGTTTACAGTGAGTAACTTTAATATTTGGACACTACAACTTTCACTTTGTCGATTTGCAACTTTATAATGAAGGATGAAGTGACAGAATAAATTAACAGAATAAATTTATGTATTTAATTCATGTTTCGAACACTTTACAATTTTTACTTTATTGCTTTCAACTTTGTCTGTGTTAAAAGATAAAGTAATCTGAGTATACATTACATTAAAACTCTATTTCTATTTTTGTTTCTTTCTTTTACGACTATCAGCTCTGAACTTTGTATTTGCATCTTTATAGTCTAATATTGCATTGGTAAATTTATATATCTTTTATCAGTAGGATCCAGTGCTTTCTTTTAAAATTCACTAGCTATAGCACAAACGAGCAACATTATCAATGAAACTATATAATAGATATTTTTGTTCCACATTTAATATTAATTTTTTGCTTTCGAATTAGGATTGCGAGAATCGAAATGCATGTATAAGATCAAAGATGAAAAGCATAGTAATTCGCACAGAATGCTTCAAAGAATTTATCCGCATGGCTTTTATGGAATTTTATGTGGTCTCATTAAAGAAATCTTTAAAACTTGAATTTCTTTGTATTTTTTCTTTAATAAAGATTCGTTTGCTACCAATAGAAAAGACAAATGGCTGTTTGTAACAAAAGTTCATTTATATAGTTGGAATTTTTAAAAGAAATTCAAAAACAGCACAACGATGGTTTAAATCTCCAATTTATTTCACGTGGACTATTCCATATTTCACTTTTATCTAAGCCTCTGATCTTAAGCGCACTAAGAGATCAATTTTACATGGAATTGCCCTTTTTCTCAGGAGTACTCTCTCAGGTAACATACCTGCTCTAAACTATCGATATGATATCATTCGCGTAGTTGCTAAGTACTGTACGAGTAATAAATACTTCTACTGATATTTCACGTAATGGAAGTCGAATATCTACGTATATTTCAAAATAGTTCGAAGAAACATTTTAGTTTAAATTTATATGCAATTCATTGATTTATAGTGAACAATGTACATTGAGATTTTTGGTATAGAATACGATTCTTTCCAATAATAATTTGTCAAGAGTACACGTTAAGTTATAAATCATTGAACTTTTGAACACACTTTTTTGTAACAGAGAAATATAACCATCATGTTCCATCGTACCGTTTCTTACAATATCAATAAAGTGCCACGCTTGACATTTACGATACATATTACACATATTACATTTTCTTACATTGTTTAGAACGTTTCCTTCATATTTCCTTCGTATAATCTATTTTGCATAACATAAATGGAGCTGTTCGCAGACATTCGAATGAAATAAAGTCGTGCGGGGAATTAATATTTGTCAGCCTGATATTTGATGCATATTTACATAATCAGTTATACTATTAAACATTATACACAAATGTTTGTAATTGATAAATTTTATAACATCGAGATCGGTAACATATTCTTTTAATAACACAATTTGTCAAATATTTTGTAATTTTTACAAAATTAGAAAGTTAAAATTAAAAACTTTAGAATAACATGAAATATATTCAACGAATAATGAAATTGTTTCCTTTTATGCACACTAATTAATGCTATCTACGTTTTATGTTATTCTAGTATACTTTGTTACATACGATAAACATAAAATGGATAAAAACTATTTAAATATACATAATCACAATAATATGTATGTATTATAGGAATTATAATAAACACAGGGTTTGTAATAGTAACTATAATAATACAATCATCAGCATGCCTCTAAAAATGGCATTTAAATTAAATTCATTTGGCAAATTTAATATAAAAATCAACACTAAAGGATTGATAAATTGGTTCAAGAGTTAACGCTTCTATAGTCTTATGTTCTTAATAAATAAATAAACTATAAATAGGAATGTAGGGGAAGAAAATGATCAAGTAACGCGATAATCCAGAGTAGGAAATAAATGCTTGTTTGCATAAAAATACATAATATAAAATTTATGACTGAGAAATGAATGAAAAATTGATTGTATAAAGACCAGGGCCGCGAGAACCTGACCGTATCGACACAATTAATTATGCTTTCTCTTTGTCATATCACAAAATAGTTGTTAGTTACCTCCATTAAATTTTAAAATATATTTGGCCACAAGAATGAAGTATAAACTATTACAAAATTAAATCTGGAGTTCTAAATTCCGGAGAAAAGGAGAATGTATGAAAGTTAATTGTAACACAAGTTTACGTACTGCATGAAATAATTACAGATGAATTCAGATACATATAGGCACACGAACACATGCACACGTATACATGTACAGTAGCTCTCTTATAACACAGGATGAAAATTGAGATAATTATTAAAATATGATAACACTATATACATGAATATGACAGCATATATAGCACAGCTTCATAATTTTTACACAAACAGCAATGACAAAAGTTAATAAGTGTGCTTTCCAATAAGTGTTCAATATTAATTTGTATTTTTCAGATTATTAAAAAACACTCAAAATAAATTTTTAACCATTTGCACTTTTAAAGAACACATTCCTCTAATTTCTATTCATTAACAATTTCTCAAAAGGTGTTATAAGAAGGTTCGCTAAGCACATATCCACATATATTTTATATACACACATATACATGCATATACATCTATGTATGTATGTATGTTCCAAATTATTGAGGTATTTTGATTCTGGAAGTGTTATTTTTCTTCGAAATATAAACTCATTTCCTTCAAATGTAAAATTTAAATCGCATCCAATATCAATTAGTGTACGATAATTACTCATATTCTTCAGGATTAATTTCATCATTAGAGTTTTCTTTTATGACACACAAATAAGACAGCATGGATACGAAGCCCATGAATAATGATTTCGAGATACAATTTTTACGATACCCATCAATATTGCCATTATTTCAAGGGAAAAATTGAAATCTGGTTCTATTCCCTGCAACTTTGCGCATGTATGTTTTAATGAATAAAAAATAATCTATACGAACATCATACACTATTAACAATCAAGTTTATCAAAGCTGGAGATTATACGTAACAGAAAAAGATTACGTTAGGGTTTTACTGGAGTCTTTGCTTGTAATGAGTATCGCATGAACACATTCCTAGGCGAATGGGTATTTTTACTTGACATAATTGTATTTCTAGCTAGTATTTTATGTCAACTCTAACTCAAGTATTACAAACAATTTGAACGATACATCGCCATCATATAGTCAATACAATAAAATGTTCGTGAACTCGTCAGATATAAATAAATGATTTAGTATGATAATGAATGTTCGTGAACTTGACTGATCGTTATTCGACTAAGTTAGCATTCATCATCACACGCGCTAAAAAGGAATCGTTTGTCAAGTAATTCTTAAAAGTCAAACATTACTATCTGGTTTGTTGGAAACCCCCATCGGTTGAGCATTCTCAACAAGTGTGGCTTCCATACTCGACGAAGGAGCCTGAACATTCGTGGCTGCTGATCTCATTTCTTGTAGAGGTGCCCTGAAAATTCACAAATCATTAAAGTTTTAATAAACTCTGGTCTTACTGAAGGTACACCTAATTCTAATATCATTCAAAAGAAGTTTTATATATTACGATAAGTATTTTCAAATTGGCACTTGCAATCACTAGATAATAGGTAAGATAAGATAACTAGATAGCAATGAAAATATGGACGCAAATATTACAAATACTTCGAATGACATATTGCTGTAGAATATATTCAATACAATGAAATGTTTATGAGATCGTTAGCTATAATTAAGTGGTTTAGTATGGTAATGAATGTTTATGAGCGTCATAGCTATGCATAATTAATGAAGCGTTAAGAATATTGTCCTCATTAACATTGAAATTTCTGTATAGATACAATTTTAATTCTTTTTTGAAGCATTGCTTGGAGAAAGACTATTTTTGTTTCGACATGTATTTACACAATACCCATATTGAACAGTGCATACATAAATGAAGGACTACTTGAACTTACTTGACGAAGTAATTTTTTCAAACTTGAGAGTACATGCATTTATGATAACAGTCTTGTTAAAGTACACGTTTGTATTTTATGATAGACATTTAATGAATGAAGTAGTTTGATAAAATGGTTACAAAAATAATTACTAGGACAAATGTAGTTTCCAATTGTTGACAAAACAAAATTTTAACTTAATAAAAGTTACGATGAGCATGGCAATAAATTCGTTAAATGATAGTTTAATTGTAATGCAGCATATGATATAAATTTAAGTAGCATCTAAGAACACTACAAGTATAAAAATAACATTAAACTTTATATATTATTGCCTGGTTAGTGAAGTGGTGCAATGAATGTTTGATGATTTATGTAGGCCTCCAGACTTCAGGATTTTCCACGAGAGTCGTAGGATGATCTGTAGTAGGAGGTACTGTACCCTGGGGGGAACCCATACCCGACGTCATTCCTGCTTGGTCGGGCCTGGATCCTCTGTTATTATTAGTGTATTAGTAACAACATTAGTGATCACCAAGGTGTACGAGAACCCGAAATCTGAGCCCAAGAATTAAAGGAATATAAGAATATCCAAGCAAGGATACTTGCAAAACAATACTCATTTAATTTGACATAACCAGAGATTGAATAGAAAGTTTCAAAGTTTGGAGCTGGAATCCAGATCATTATTATTTTTGCTCAGTATTGATTAATGGTACCCAAAAACCACAGTAACAAATTCAAACATAGATACAGTTTTATATTAAATAACATACATAAATTACTTCTCTATCTGCAAGCGAATATGTGCACATATTATTGCGAAGGCACACCACACACTTACTTCAACCAAACAAAATGGTGAGACAAAGAATAATCATTGGTACTTAAAATAAAGAGTTTATGTAAAAATGAATTACTCTGTAAATGATTCACTTACTTTCGTCCTAATGCCATCAATCCATATATCACACCAGTTGCGAATATCAGACCGCTGCCAAATATGCTACTTACACCTATACATACGATGATTGGTGGAAGCGCCATTCTAAATTAATAAAAAGACAGAATGCACCTCATTAGTGGCACAAAATGAAGTTTTAGAAAGAAAATACATTATTGTGTTTGGAATGCTCTGAGAATGTGACACACTTACAAACAATATGCTGCTGCCCTATTCCAATACGGCCTCTTCTCTACCGAATCGCTTAAGTTTTGTACAAAATCAATAAATAGACAGCAACACGGTGCTTCTATCATTATAACTATAAAACCAGCCACCATTTGCCACATGCCGCTAATTAAGCAGTCTATAGAACCCAACAGTATCGATGCACAGTTCCATGCTCCGAGAAAAATTGCAACTGGAAGAAATTAATAACAATTATTACATTAAATTTGCATACATGTAAATTACAGACTTTAATTGCTATGCAGTTTTTTGCTTTTTCAGATATCATGAGCGTTGTACTGAAGTTGTTTAAAAATTTAATGCAAAACTTCCCAAAAAGGATGACTATCTGTCAGAAATTCCAAGGTGGCTGGATATTGTGATTTATATTTAACTGTAAGGTTTGTACTTTGACCTGGAATGGAGATATTCCAATTTTTGTTAAAAACAGATGTCTTTTTTTGGGGAAATTTAAAATGAAACCTCTCAACAGAAGGCTTTGTACAAAAAAGAATTTGTATAATCAAAGATCAACGAGGATAAATGAAATCTGTTACGATGAAATATGTAACGATTACTTTACAAATACATTACTTTGAAATACGTACTTAGGCTTCCTACAGTGCCGAGTCCTCGACCAGCATATTTCATCCACCAGGGTACATCGTCCCTGGCAACAGGGTCCTGTCCTGGTTTCTGCATAATCGATATTATTTTTTCCGTGAACGACTAAAACACAAAGGAATTACGATTGTTAGAAACATTGGCGCACGTTCAAGCGATCGCGATCTCGCGGATTTACCATTTTGATCGTTCTACGATCCTCTTCTTCACCAACTAACAGGACGAAGTCAAACTGACAGCACCACAAGGATCGGTGATGTACTGAAAATTGACCCGCAAGTTTCTTAATTACGTAGACAGAGGCGCTTCGATCTGTCAACGATTTTGCACGTATATATTGCATTCCTTGAAAGTACGATACTATAGACTGTACATCTTCGACTTGGAAAACGTATGGCTTGTACTCACAGTTGCGACAAATATATACTCCGTACTTTGCTTCATTTCGATTCGTAGATTGAGACACAGAACGACGCATGCGCACTTGCCTAAATAACACCTGAATTTCGCGCCTTCGTTTATACACTTGTTTACTCTACACCGCTTTAAAAAACTGTGAGATTAAAGGATTAAATTAAACCAAATTATAATTAAAACACTTGGACTAAATTTATTGGAAACATAAAGTCATATTTGAAATTAGTTTGAGCAGATAAATATAGGTTATATTTGGATTTGTTTACAGAGGTAAATATCAGTGGTCGTCGATAATACCAAACGTATATAAATATTTTTTCTGTTTTAGATGTGCATGGAACAAAAGTAGAGAGTGTGGATTATTAAAACTAATTAAAATAATAATAAAATTGTTCAATTAAAGATAACAATGCAAAAGTTCGCTAGATTAAAACGCGAACTCAAACAATTTGAGTGTTCTCCCACAGAAGGGATCTGTTGTTATCCGAAATCAAGTAATTTCGAATGCCTCATTGCAACAATTGTCGGACCGAGTGGAACCCCATACAATGGTGGCATTTTTGAGCTAGAAATCATGATACCCGAAAAGTATCCATTCGAACCCCCGTTGATTACTTTCAAAACACCCGTTTACCATCCAAACATTGATAACAAAGGTCGTATCTGCATGGATCTTTTAAACATGCCACCTAAAGGCACCTGGAAGCCTACTATCTGTTTGAAAACTCTTTTGGATGCTGTACAGTATCTATTGGGAAATCCAAACCCTGATGATCCTTTGATGACCGATATAGCAGAAGAATATAAATTTAATAGGCAGCAATTCGAGAAGACAGTAAGAAAATACATAGAAGAAACTAAAAATAAATTATCATAAATAGTTGTAAATATTTTTTTGTATTTTTGATACGTAAATATAATGGAAAATGGATTATTCTTCTAGCCCTGTTCATTTCAGAAATCTTTTTGTTTTTAACGTTAAGTAGCGACTTATGCAATGTGCTTGAATTTATTGTCAGTTTTCAGTATTGAGGATAGCAATTCAGACCTGGGACTTACATTGTAACTACATATCACACCAATACTACCATGAAAATTCTAGCAGCCAGCATTTATTATCTCCATTATAAACTACTAATATAGTATTACCATTAAGAGTTTATTCCTATGCTTTTCAATTCTAATATCCACTTACTCGAATCTATACTATGTTAATAAACTGTGTTGACTACTAATAATGCTCAATTTGAGGGTACAGACAAAACGAACAAGGCTTTTGATACAACTAGTAACAGTATGCAGAAATTTAGATCAGCCTGCTTTAGTAATACTAATCAATACTAATGTATTACAAAAGTACTCTTCTAAGTTGTAGACATTTCTAGTTAGGCTGGTAGTTAAAGTGTTGATATAGCAACATATAATTAATAATATGTGACTACTGTAATTTGTGATTGCTTAAAGTAGGTTAAATGGGTTAAATTGACGCGTTTGAGAATTAAGTAGAGTGGATGGCACCAAAGGAGGGGTGGAAAGAGCCACATTGAACGAGACGTATACCCTGGTATAACCTCTCATCAATCAGTCTATAAAGAGGTTTATGTTCCAACTCGAAGTTTTTCAATAAAGAATACACTTTATTCGTCGTGGAATACAGATCTCATTAGAAACAGAAGCTTTTTCTTCAGTGAGTATTCAAGTACTTTCTTTTTTTTTGGAGTTTGTTTAATTAATTAATTTTCAGGGATGGAAAGTGATTAAGCACCATGGAGAGAAAAATTGCTATGAAAACAAGACACTGGGTGCTAAAGCCATGGAATCTGTTTCTCCTTATCCTGACTCAATTTGTGTTGCAATTTATAACGTCCATTTATCTGTATACTTATGTAGCCCATGTAGAGATGGATGTTCATATTATGAAGGATCGCAATGTTCTGGAGATTGAGAAATTGATACGTCGGAAGAGGAACAGCGCGTTGCCCGTAACAGAGGATAATAAGGTTTCCGATGCTTCCAGAGTACATATTATTAGCATACATTGTACAAAAAATATGGTATGTGTTTGCACTTTTTGTAATCTTTTTCTATTATAGATTTGGGAAGAAAAAGACATGTTGAAAGAGTCGAAGAAGGTGACTTCACCTCCTGTAGCTGTGTCAGGGTTGTCATCTTCTCCAATCACTCCTGTGGAACATGATTGGGTATGGTTAAACGCAGACACTCGGGTGCAGGTTAATTTTTCACATTCATTGGATAATTGATATATAAGATGGCATGCTTAATAAAGAGAATTATGTTATTGTAGGTGGATGCCATTGAAAATTTCTGTCAATCTTCCATGAAATATTGTCCACCAGGCTTACCAGGAGCCCCAGGTCTTCCAGGAATGCAAGGAAGTACTGGTCCAAGAGGACCACCTGGCTTAACCGGTCCCCCTGGACCAAAAGGTGAAATAGGATCTCCTGGTTTTGATGGAAGAGATGGAGTACCAGGTGAACCTGGACTTGATGGAATTCCTGGACGTAGCGGCTTAGATGGATTCCCGGGAATAAATGGTAAACCAGGACTTAACGGATCTCCTGGTCGCCCAGGACGAAATGGCACAGATGGTATGCGCTATGAACAGAAAATTATGGACACAATAATGGATAATGGACAGAAAAAGGGTGAAAATAGTTCATGAAAACACATTTCCTACTAGACTTTGTTCGATTGAGAAATACTTTCGCACCAAGCTTTTTCCCACCTTTAGTGACTCAACATACACAATGAGAACCAAAGGAATAAAAAAAAAATGCAAATTCGTGTAGGAATTGTTATTCTTCATGTAAACTGTTGTTTTAGGAAGGCCAGGTCACGTAGGACCACAAGGACCACCTGGACTGCGCGGTAACTTAACAATTATTTCAAATTCCCTCATTCTAATTGCGCATAGATGCAAAAAGATACGTTGTTGATGTAAACAACTTTAGGAGAAATAGGTCCTCCTGGTAGACCAGGCTCGCCAGGACAAGATGGCAGGCCAGGGATATCAGCCTGGAAGGTGAACATGAATGACTATAATGTAAACGATTTATTGATTCCTCCTTCCATTTTGGGTGAGTAATTTTAAACAATGAAACTTTCAAAAGTGCGATAACATTTTTTTTTATTATGTCTTCTAGATGATAGAATGTTACCAGCGTCATTAAATTCTACTGCGTTAATTTCTGTGTATGAAGGAACCAATATACGATTGAGATGTGTAGCGAGTGGGAAACCACAGCCTGTTGTTCAATGGTTTAGAACTGATGGTAGCAATATTCCTGTTGGATCTTGGCATGGTAATAGGAAACGTGATAATTATTTAGAAATAGATTTAATTATGTTTAGCCACCTTAGTAGTTCTGTGGAGTGTTACAAGGGCATTCAATAATGATTATATTTTCAATGTATAAAATATTCAATATATATATATATATATTTTACATGTTCTTTAATTGCTGAATATATCATTTCTTACATAGTGACGTCCATCATTGGATATACATTTAATATCACTGCAGTGAACAGAGAACACATGGGAGAATATACCTGCATCGCTGACAATGGGGTTCCTCCAAGAGCATCTAAAAGATTCAAGCTTCAAGTTAAATGTAAACATCACACTTTATTAATACATGGATGCTGTTAACTATTCTAAGTATATTATAACTTCTCTGTTTATGTTTGAATTGGTATAACGGAAGAATCACTTTCCAGTTCCACCTTTCATTCGAATACGCAATCCAATGATTCTCGTGCGTAACCAGAACACTGCAATTCTAGAATGCGAGGTCGAGGCATTCCCAGAGCCGATTGTTTACTGGGAACGCGGAGACGGTCGTCGTCTCAAAATGTCTGATAAATATAGACTAGAAGTTTACGATAGACGAGATGTGTATAAGGTAGTAAACGATAATGTTGCGTGATTGAACTATTAGATGTATTTTACATTTATTCTTAATCATTTTTAGCTTAAGATGCGCTTGAAGATTACAAGAATAACGTTAACGGATCATGGCACCTACCACTGCGTTGTCAAAAACGATATTAATACTACCAAGGGCCCTATCGTGATTCATGGTGAGAATTAAAAGTTAACTTATTATGCACTTTTAGTGTTTATGTTCTTTAAATAACTATTCGTGTAAAATTACAATTATTCAATTAAAATTGGAGTTAATCGATTACAGATGATGTAAATGGTATGGAAAGATTAACAATTGGAAAACATCAACATGTTACGTATGGAGAGCCTCCACCGAGACATGTTGATCTAGAGGAACTTTGCGTGCCGCATGATACTTGTGTGGCTTGCCCTGTTTTGAGATGTACCTTTACAGATATTGCTGAATATTTAAACGTTCAGCCACTAACAAATATCAACTTCACTGGACTTCCTCCGCGATTAGCAGGTAAATTGGTTCAGTATTGTTTTTTTATTTCAAATACAACATACATTTCTCATTAATTTCTTTTCTTTAACCCTGTAGATGGTGTAATCGAAGCGTTGGGTAAGCCTGTATTAAAGGGTACGATGGATGATCACTATGGAAGTTGGATGCACGATGCATCTTCGAGATCAGATGGTTTCTCTGATAAACTCTGGGTCACTCGAACGAATGACACCTCTTCCATTTTTGAATACAAATCGAAAGATCATTTTAAAAACTCTAGTTCACGTTCCATTGCGTTACCCTACTCCTTTCAGGTATATCGTATTATTTTGTACTTTATATATCGCAGAATATTCAATTTAATTCACTTACAGGGAAACGGACACATAGTATACAACAGATCTTTCTTTTACAATCCTATAAACCGGTCTTCCATCTTTCGCTTCAATTTACACTCCAGTTCAGACCATATATGCGACAAGGAGTTTCCACGATGCGAATTGCATCTTCCAGGATTGCTAGTGAACACAAGGAACTATCTCTATACGCCAAACCATAATTTTAATTACGTCGACTTCAATGTTGATGAAAATGGTAATTTTACAACAATTAGAAAAAATGTTTTCTTTCGCAAATAAAAATTGATGAATAACGTGTAAATTATTTTTGGAAATAGGTTTGTGGATAATATATGGATTACCATCGAACAATACAGTAGTACTGAAATTAGATGCGACCAATATGAATATTCAATATGCATGGAATATTAGTATCGACAATCATAAATTTGGAGAAATGTTTATTGCTGGAGGAGTACTTTACGCTGTTCATAGCGTCACAGAAGAATCAATGAAAATAAGGTAGTAATTAGAACACAAAGGAGAAATAACTTATAAATAATTAAATAATTTTGTGTATTTTTTCAGGTTGGCCTTTGATCTCTATAAAAATGTAACGATACCTGTTCATTTATCTTTTACGAATCCTTATCATAAAACTACAGCGGTCAGCTACAACCATAAGACAAAGGTAAACATTGCTTCAATTTAACAAATGAATAAAAATAATATCTTAAACTGTTTTTGTTCTAGGAATTGTACACTTGGAACAAAGGAAATCAATTGGCGTACCCTATAAAATATCAAGGCTTTGCAAACGTTACAGCGAAAGAAGAACTCAGAGATCTTTCCTCTGGAATTTAAAACATTGTCTATTTTATACCATACATTTTTATTTCTACGATTAAACATACAGATATATCTAAAGTTAAATAGGGAAATTTATTGAAAAAATTAATTCAAACATGGTAACACTCCGTTTGTATTAATTTAAAATAAACTACTAAATCCTTATATGTTCTGTAAACACGTTTTCGTAAAAATCACTCTATATACATATAACTTTATTATCATTTGACAAATGGTACACCTATATACAGAGCTATGTTATCTTCTATTGATCAACTATTCTTTATTTAGTAGACACTCTAGTGCGCTTATTCCATGCAAAATTGGTACCATAACTACGAGGTTTAGGATTATTGACATTAGGTTTTTGAATATAATAGTCCCAACCCATTTTTTCACAGTGCGCAACAGCTTCTGCTTCTGATGCAAATTCCACTTTGATGTTAGACATGGGATCTCCTCTAACGATAAAAAGCAATATTATTAAATATTTAAGTGCTCGAAAGAGAAATATACTATTATACTCACGTAGAAGTCCATCCCATTAGTGGATTCTCCCAACGCTCGCGCGTATCGAAGTCTATCTGCCAGAAATGAATGTTATTCGTGCCAGATTGCATAGCACTTTTCGCAGGGCAAAATATGCGAACTCTACGAGTTTTTATATGATCCTCTGGAACACCCGAGACCAACCCAACGTCTTCAACCGAAGATACTGTAATAGTACCTTTTCTAGCTTCTTGATACAATTGTTCCTCCTTGTCCATTAAAAGATCTTTAAAATTTTTCCGGATTACCGATGGCACTGCATCTTCTTTCGTTTCCTTACTTGAACTCGAGAGCAGTCTTTTAGACAATCTATAAATTACATTTTAAAGAGATTGAACTTGTTTCTTGTAGTATTATCACAGTATTGTTTATTGGTTCAACTTAGCATGACATGAATGCTTATGTAAAGTCATGAAATAGTATCATATGTCATGTACAGAAAAATCAGAATGAAGGTAAAGTCACGAGTTAAAACTTACCCATAACAATTTCTAAAATCACCGTTTATTCGTAAAAAGGGTAAAGAACGAAGTGCCATTTTATATGTCCAAACTCGAACACAGAGTATTCTATACTGCTCTATACTCTATATGTGTAATATCTTCGACCATATATACATGCATCTTCGATGGAGCATTATTATGGGTGCATTCAGAAGGAGCACCGCTCACTGAGCTGCTTTGTGATCGGGATTTAGTAGTTTAGTGGCGCCATCGGTGGGAAAATCCCCAAGTTTGTAGTGAAAATAGTTCCCATTGTTGCTGCTAAATGGCGCCACTTACATCTTCGCATTCATTGTTCTTTATTTTTAATAAATTACGTAATTAATGATTCTTTGGTTTATAATGGTATAATATAATAGTTGGTATCTCAAATTTATCATTTTAATGAATAGTTATTAAACGCTGGAATAATTATAGAAACTTTAGTTAGTAGCGCTATCTAGCAGCAACAGTGGAAACTATTTTCACTACAAACTTGGGGGGTTTTCCCATCGATGGCGCCACTATATTATTAAATCCCGCTCACAGAGCGGCTTAGTGAGCGTTGGCCTTTCTGTATGCTGTATAAAAGCCTTCTGTAGCTTTTCTATACTCTACGGCGAAAGTCGAAAGGGGTTAGGGGAGATTTGTGTCTTCGAGGTGAATTTGTCAATCACCTCCAGTAACGTAAATAGTGTTACTCAATGTTCAGGTGACAAAAAAGAAAGGAGAAAAAGTTAATGAACGGGAAGCTTGTAACCACACCAGCTGGAAAAATGGTAAGGACAAGTAGCAGTCGAACAGGTCGAACTGTCAAATGTATGGTAACTTGATCCTAACCACACGTAACAATTAATTGCAAGTTATTTTGTTCTAAATTTTAAGAAGGTTGGAAACATTTTTAATGTTTTATTCAAAGATCCGCGCTTTTCAACTTTCTTTTAAGATCCATATCCCTCACTTTCTAGGGATGTCGATAACCTCTTCATGAATTCATTTCAAATAATGGATTTTCCCAAGTGTACGTTTATTATTGCTTGTTGTCCATTCCTTAGTTTTGAGAATTTAACATAAATAGGTTGAATAAAAATAAATTGCCATGACACTACAGTGGCATACAATTTTCATTCGATACTTAATAAATTAAAATTTAAGGGTATGGATTTGTGGTACATGCTTCGCCAGTACATTCTAGTTCTTGTGTATTTAAATATTTCTTCTTGCTCTCAGATGTACAATTAATGCAATTATAATTCATTGATTTAATTTAATCTTTCTCAACTTGTAAATTAAAGTGTTAAGAATATTTATCTTATCTTATGTACACATTTGATAATATATATTCATTAAATCAGCTTTATTTTGTATTTTTTAAAGTTCTTTAAGTCTAAACAAAGAAAAAGCTAATTGTTTCATAGACATATATAAACTGTTACTAACTGTTAGTAAGTTAAAATTCGATTATTTATTGTATCGTATATCAAACATATATTAAAATATATTAATATGGATATTCTGTATGTTATTTATCCACAAATTAAATTTATTTAATATTGTATGTAGTACTTAAACAAACTTGTGGCTTTCTTTGAAATAACAAGCAGACTTTTGCATTATCTCTACTCAGCTTTATTAACTAAACACTCATTATCATATTTAAACAATTTCTGTACAATTATCAATAATAATACCTAATACAGGACAATGAAAGATTATGGTTCAGAATCTTATAAGGCACTCATGAATTATTCATCACTCTAATCCCATACGGACAGTCTGAAAATATGATAATCTCTTATAGGACAGTACTGTTTTAATATGCAGTAACCCGAAGGCGATTGTTCTTTTCTGGAGTTTCAATTGGTAAAAAACTATTAGGAAACAAGTAATTTTTAAATATAATTAGTACCTTCGCTTCTAGTCATCACAAATTAAACAATGCAGACTTTCTTTTCAACAATATCTTACTCTATGTACTAAAAGAATGAATCTTTGAATTCAATTTTCCACAAGGAATTTAATTTCAAACACATTCAATTTAAATTTCCTTCTTTTCTCACGTGTCATACTCAAAATTCCTACAGTGTGCAATGCCATGGAGAAGTTTCCACTGAAAGGTACGAACTTGTTAAACAATACGATACCACAAAATTACCAGAACCCTTTAACAACATACCAGTCAGTTGATACAAAGGTAAGACACGAATGGAACAATCAAACAATAAAAATGTGAAAAAAGTGTATTGCTTGAATTATTCCTACAGGTAGAAAATTCAGACAATGCATACTTTGTAGAAGATTCTCACACTCGAACACCTGGATCCGATAATAATTCGAGTAGCGACGACGACATGTTGGAAGTTAATAACGTAGGATCTCACCACGGAGACAGTACTGTTCTTTCCGATCATTGCATTCGCATTGATGATGCTTCCTCCCACAGTACGTAATGTCTACTATAATTTCTTTATGTAAAGTGTTAGAAAAAAATACTCAATAAAACATAAATACTCAATAAAAAATAATAGCTTGCAACAATTAGATATATAATAAATTTTTAAATACAAGTTAATATAAAAAAAGCTCTTGTTTCGTGAGGTCCTGCAAGCACTATAATAAACACTATAACTTCCACAGTAATCCACAAAATTAAAAAAAGTATCATTTGTGCTTCTTCGATCTCTCAGTTTCAGTTGATTCCGATGACATTCCTGGGATTGGCCAGTACGATGACTTCCATACGATTGATTGGCAACGAGACATTGCTAGAGATAGAATGCGACATAGATACATCGTGAAGAAAAGACATGACTCTATCTGGGGTTTAATCAAGGGGGCCCACGACGCATGGTCTGGATGGCTCTGCGTTCTGTTCGTTGGGCTCTTTACGGGAGTTGCAGCAGGTATCATAGACATAGGAGCCTCCTGGATGACCGATCTGAAATTTGGCATATGTCCGCAAGCCTTCTGGCTGAACAAAGAGCAATGTTGTTGGAGTTACAACGAAACAACCTTTGATGGTGGTAACTGTTCTCAGGTAAGGATATTTGTACTCTATTAGAGCAGTTTCAACTTTGAGCAGTTTTTTCGTAGATATCTGAGTATCACAGGAACTTTAAATTTGTATCGCTTGTTATTTATTTCAGTGGCGAACGTGGCCAGAGGTATTTAATCAGTCGAAGGATGGCGCAGGCCCTTACATGATCTCGTACATGTTCTACATAGCTTGGGCTCTCTTGTTCGCTTCGCTTTCTGCCTCGCTAGTAAGGATGTTCGCTCCCTACGCTTGTGGCTCTGGAATTCCTGAGGTAAACATAAAAGGAACAAATAAATAGAAAACATAATAATTTATAATTTACACTTTGAAATCGGTTTTTAGATTAAAACGATTCTAAGTGGATTCATTATTCGTGGATATTTGGGAAAGTGGACGTTGATAATTAAGTCAGTGGGTTTGATTTTGTCAGTCTCTGCAGGTTTGAACTTAGGCAAGGAAGGACCCATGGTTCACATAGCTTGTTGCATAGGGAATATATTTTCTTATCTCTTTCCAAAATATGGTAGAAATGAAGCTAAAAAGAGAGAGATCTTGTCAGCAGCTGCTGCAGCAGGAGTTTCAGTTGCTTTCGGTGCTCCAATTGGTGGTGTTCTGTTCAGTCTCGAAGAGGTGAGTCACAGAAACAATGTCTATATCATTTTAACCCTTTGTACTCGAAAGATCGTTTGTATATCCAGACTACCATGTTACACGAGGTCAATATGAACAAAACTATGTATATATGTTAAGTTATACAATAATTATTTTACAGGTGAGCTATTATTTTCCCCTGAAGACCCTGTGGCGGTCGTTCTTCTGTGCTCTGATAGCTGCTTTCATTCTGCGCTCGATAAATCCCTTTGGTAATGAACACTCGGTGCTCTTTTACGTTGAGTACAACAAACCTTGGATATTCTTCGAGTTAATACCATTCGTTATGCTTGGAATAATTGGAGTAAGTCTTCACTGTGAATCTACGATACAAGAACTCTTTTGACTTGTGATTTTACTCATTTTTATCTTTACAGGGAGTGATCGCTACTTTGTTCATCAAGGCGAACCTGTTCTGGTGCAGGTATCGTAAGACCTCTAAATTAGGTCAGTATCCGGTTACAGAGGTTTTGATAGTGACAGTTGCAACTGCCGTCATTGGATATCCTAATCCATACACACGGATGAGTACGAGTCAACTCATTTATTTATTGTTTAGTCAGTGCGGTGTGTCCAACGGAGACATCTTATGGTTTGTAAAACCTACTTTTTTTTATTGTTTTAGGGGAATGTTAACTCTTTGTATTATAATTTGATATTATTACAGTGATTACAACAGAAACTTCAGCGCGGTGAAATCTGCAATAGAGATAGCAGCAGCAGGTCCAGGAGTCCATAAGGCGATATGGCTTCTTGTTCTAGCGTTAATCCTGAAACTTGTCATGACAATATTCACATTCGGTATGAAAGTACCTTGTGGATTGTTTATCCCCTCGCTTTGTCTGGGAGCCATAATGGGTCGCATTGTTGGCATCGGAATGGAACAACTCGCATACAATTATCCACACATCTGGATGTTTAGCGAAGAGTGCTCGACCGGTGTGGACTGTATAACGCCAGGTCTGTACGCAATGGTTGGCGCTGCAGCTGTTCTTGGAGGTGTTACGAGAATGACTGTTTCCCTCGTGGTAATAATGTTCGAATTAACTGGTGGAGTTAGATATATTGTTCCTTTAATGGCTGCTGCCATGGCGAGCAAGTGGGTTGGCGATGCTCTTGGGAAGCAAGGTATCTACGATGCTCACATCGGCTTGAATGGGTATCCATTCCTTGATAGCAAGGATGAAGTGCAGCATACTACTCTTGCAGCCGATGTCATGCAACCTAAGTAATTAAATCACTACGTACTTAAATATTTTTAAAATATTGGACGGGAGCAACATTTTCTCTCAATCTTTTCTCTTCTTTCGAAGTTAATCGATTTAAAATTTTTCCAGGCGCAACGAAGCTCTCCATGTGCTCACTCAGGATTCAATGACAGTAGACGATGTCGAAAACTTATTAAAAGAAACAGAGCACAATGGGTTCCCTGTAATAGTTTCTAAAGAATCGCAGTACCTCGTCGGCTTTGTCTTACGCAGAGATCTGAACCTTGCTATTGCGAATGCTAAGCGTATGATGGAAGAGATCACTGGACAATCATTGGTCATATTCACCAATGGAAACAATATTCAGAGTCATTCCCCTCCGCCTCTCAAACTGAAGAAAATCCTTGACATGGCTCCGATTACTATTACGGACCAGACACCTATGGAAACTGTCGTTGATATGTTTAGGAAGCTGGGGCTGAGACAAACGCTCGTTACGCATAATGGGTATCTATTTATATAATAAAATAAAAATATTTACTTAGAAAATAATTATTGTGACGGGGCAGACTTTTCTGTCCACGCTCGGACCGTCACATTATATATTATTTTATATTCTTATATTTATATTTACAGGCGACTTCTGGGAGTCATCACGAAGAAGGACGTACTGAGACACGTAAAACAGCTCGACAATGAAGATCCTAATTCTGTATTGTTTAATTAAAATGGGTGTATGTGTATGTAAATTTAATTAAAATGTACATACGCATTTTAATTAAATAAATTGCGAGACACACCCAATGTATGCAAGCAGACATGTCGCATGTTCTCACATACAAAGACAATGTGTATGAAAAAAAAAATGAAATAATTATGGAGGGGTAGGAGATACGATGCTTTTTGTGTTAGGATTTCCTGCAGCCTGCAGTTACAAACTGAAGATGAACATTTCGAGTATATTCTGTAAATAAAATAAGTCAAGTAGCAGAGAACTTGTATTGCGTGTTTTAACAATTTTTCCTTTCCTGTAGCTTTGCTCAAAAACGGTTCAAATAGTAGAATCTATAGAATTTATTTTTCTTTTTGATATAAAATTGTATTTAAAGAATAATATTGCATTTTGCTACTTTATTTTCGTATCTCCGACCGTTTAGTAATTATTCCAAACTGTACTTTTAGATACAGTATACAAAAGAAATGATAAAAAAGTGTTTTATAAGGTATCAACCGGAAAAATTAGATTCATAGCGCTAACAATGAGATTTTTCATATATGCTAATGGTATTTGGAATTATTAGTGATTACTAGGCAATGAATTTTACGTATTTATGACATACGCTAACGTGGAAATCACATGGAAAATGTATGTAGAAAATGTTTCATAAATTATTGTAATAGTATTAATATTTTATTTTATATAATTGTACATATTATGGGTACGTTTAGTATGTTTTTCCTATGCTTACGTGTCATAAATGCTTAAAATCTGCAGTGTAGTGATTGCAAATGAACAAGTATGTAGCGAAAACATTTTCAGCTCATTACAGTGTGCCGATGTCCATATATTTAGTAGTGGTAAGATTGAACATAATTTACATATACTACATACTCAAAACAATGGCAACTTTACAAATAATAGTCAAGATGGTAAAAACTCTTTTGCATGGCTTTTTTTTTCTCATAAAGAAACCAACAAGATTTCTTATTGTTATATTAATACATTCTGCTAGACAGAAATTGCAATGTATGAGAATATTGGAAGTATAATACAACAATTAAAGTTTAGGTGGTACACGTATTTCATAACAAACCAAAAACTTAACAACAATGCCTATTTCGAGCAAAAATATGTATGTATGTATGTATATTGTGGTAGGATTTACTCATTAACTTTAATATTTTATTGTTATTTAGCTGCAAAAAGGTTCTACTGCATGAAAAATAATTCCTGTAGGGAATAAACATGATCAAATTAGCTTATTTGATCAAGATCATATTGAACGAGAAGTATTTTTGTTTGTATAAGAACCTTTTGGAGGACGAAGGAGTTTTGAAAAAAAATTTAAGAAAGATTGTCGATTATCTATTACTAAGAACCACTCTGATGTATATATACAAACATGCAATGCGCGTGAATATGTCCATGATAAATGCTATCTTACGACTATTAAATCTTATAAACGTTGAGGGTATGTTAACGTATCATAATATTAATGTATACTAATATCGAAATACTAATATACAAATAAATATTGTTTTCATTATATTCTACAGATAGGCGTTGTCGATGAATTTTTATTTTGGTTTATTTTTTGTTATAATTATCTTTTACATATAACCATATTTTCAATTATAGTCCTGTTTAAACTTTCCGCTGTAAATTGACAACGGAAGATGGCCGATGGGCTTCACCTTGGTTTTATGCCGCACCACGTCTACTATGCCTGGTCCCTATATTCCTATGTCCATGGTTGTGCTAGACATTCTAGTATATCTATCTGTATCTAAATCTATCATTGATCAGGATCAGTGGAATGCACCCAAATGCACCCATTGGCTTTGTGTCCCTCTAGTAACTAGTACATACTGGTCTAAACAATCCCATATAAAATTAAAATAATCGATCCTGTTCCATGCCATGGTCCACTATGGTTCAGATCAACAGTTTTAGAACATTTTGGAATAACTGATGAGTGAATGGCAGTGAATGGTTATATGTCATGTTGGAACATTTTTAAATAATTAGTGGAGTACTAGTATTTTAAAATACACCAAACCTCATACACATTCTATTCCAAAATCAAAATTAAAAATGTTTTATTAAATTCTGTTTGCATGTATCTGGACTGAATGCCGAAACTAAATTTTTAGGTTATAATAACATCTCTAAGATCTTATAAATAGTGAATTTCTTAAAATTCAATAAACCATATCCTATGTCTCTCAACATACTTCCAAAGATGCCTCACTCTAAACATGAGACTGTAAGCACATTTCTATCGATTCAATCAATTCATTCATCGCAAATCTTTTAATATAAACTTTTACGTTCAACAACAGCCACAAATTACGAACGACATCGCTTCAGACTTCACCTCTCTGAAAGTATCCGCTTTAAAGAAAGCTTTTCGCATCTCCGGGAACATAGACAGCATCAAAATTGGTCCCGATTTAACACCAACTGAAAATGAGATCCAGCAATCAGAGAACACAGAAAATGAACAGAATTCTTGCAACATCAAAGATCCATCAAAGTCCATTCATTCGCAGAACAACAAAATTTCTCTGCAGAGCGGCATTGCATTCTCTGTTAACAAGATCTTTTTGGAGAGTGAGAACCAAAGGAAGGAGGAAGTTTGGGTAATTATTTATTTTAAATCTCAGAAATATGTATACTTAGTTTTCTGAAATCTTTGTGTATCTTTAGAAAGAGATTGAGCGTCACTGGCAGAACATGAGGGAAAACGGCAAAGCTATAAAGGAACATATGGCAATCTCGCGCTTTTATTTGGCTAAGGAGCGTGAACGAAGAAGCAAAGAGAACTATGCATATATATTGGCGGAGGAAAGAATTGCAGAGCAAGAAGAAATACGGAGGAAACATGAAAGACACAAAGAGTTGGAGGAATACAAGAAACAAATGAAAGAGAAAGAAGAATTGGCTAAAAGTGTATTAGCTCTTCGAGAGACGTTCCGAGCAAAGTATTGCGAACTTATTACTCTGTCTGCATCTTCCTACAGCGTGAAATTGCAAGACTTGCTTAATCAAGAGGAGGCTATACATGAGAAAGTTCAGGTAAGCGCTGAAATTAGTCTTAAATTTGAAAAGAACATGTAACAATATATGTAAATATATATTCAGACAGGAGAAGCAACAGCTATCGATTTAAATTCTATGAAAAAAATGGTTGAGCTAATCGATGAAATGTTGTGTGCATTTAAATTAGAAGCAGGTGAGGTGTCGTTCTTTTTATTTTCCACGATTTTCTAAAACCAAATGTTTATGTTTTGTTGCATATTTCAGAGAGGATAAACGCTCAGTACGAGGCAGATTTAGCCAACATGGAGAGTGCGAAGCAATGTCACTTTCAACCCATTTGCGATGTTGTCGTTTTCGAACAGACGAGTACCGATGACACTCAAAGCAACGAAGACAAATATGGAGACAGCGAACCACTAGAAAATGTACATGTAACAGAAAATGTAACTGTTCTAAATATACCACAAGTAACCCCAGTGGTGGTTAATAAAGAAGAAATTGTTTCACTGGAAGAACATGAGAGTATGCACGAGAGTGCGTATTAATTATTTTAGTTATATTTCGAGACACTTTTCAAATAAGAGTTACACTTGACGCACTGCACATATTTTTTATAAATACACGATCTTCATCTATTTTCAGACAATTTGTACAAATACGTTGACAAGGAATCTCTACAACGGTACATGGATAGTCAACAGTTCCTAGATTATTATGCGAACAGCTACAATGACTTTGTGCAGGCTGAGAGTACAAGAAAGTTTCGATTTGAATGCCAAAAAGCAATAAATATACCAGTGAATGCAATCTCTGGTATCAACGAACAACATCTAAGAGACAAATACGAAAGATTGCATAATCTTCTCACAGGAAGGGCTATGCCAAATGTGAATGAATATCCACAAGGGATAGCTTTCTGCAAAAATATCTTAGCGAAGAAAATAGTTGTATGTAGCTTAGTTCTTGCTGATAATATTAACGTGGTTGTTGTATAGTAAACCGTACCACATTTAATGTTTCTTTTTTAACAGAGCCAAGGCGAAACACTTGTTTCCAGCAAACCAAAAATGGCATTTCCAATTGCTGCGGTAGTCGTTGCTCTCTGGAACGATCACTCTGACTTTGGTGATCTACTTTTGTCGCACTTTCACAGCGCTTGTCCATTTACTGTTCCTGTGTTTCTTCCAAAGATGGTAGACCAATCGGATGAGAGTTATTATACGTCGTTAGGATACAAGTATAATGAGGATGGAACCCTTGAGAAGTATGATAAGTTTTTAAAAAGAATGTCCGGTTTGATGAGGCTGTATACTTCCATTATCATCACTTCTCAAAGAAAAGGTATTAATAAAAGCAATCCACATGGGCTTCAGTACGCGTGGCGATGGCTGGCTGTTGTTTTAAATACTGGTAATTATTGTAACTATTATACAAGGCGAGTCACCCAAGATTTGTACCTAAAATATCTCATTTATATGGGTAATTTTATTTCAGAACCCAGAACAGAGGTAGCAGACATCTGCGCCACTCTTTTGTTGGACATGCTCGAAGTCGCTGGAAACTTATTGTGGACTGCCTATCCAAACCAATTTCCAAAATTGTTGATGTTGTTGTCTGAAAAATATTATCCCTGCATGCAAAGCGTAGGATGCGTTAGCGGTGGCCCTTTAGTACGTCTACAAGAATTTTTGAAGAACAGTTTAACGAACGGCTCCGTGCCACCACCCGACGGTCGACTTCCTCCAAATTTTTGGTGATTCGATTTGCTTTGTTTACCTTTTTTCATCCATTGTACAATTTATAAAGTGACTTTTGATAATGGTTTACGTTACACGGGAGCTATTTTCGAATCAATCTATAGTAGACTTTAAGAATATTTAGAGATCAATTGTTTCTGGCTTATTTGTACATATAAAAAATGTTGAACATTGTATATATTATACTTTTTACGCGCAAAGATGAAAAACTAGGTATAAAAAAAGAAGCAAATGATGATATTGCGTGTGCCTATGTATAATTTAAAATAAATAATGTAGCCCGAGTAATGTAGTAACCTTGGAATTTGACAATGTCGTTGACACTTGATGTGTTTTTATGTTACATCATTAGACAGTTATTTAAAAATAAGTATATTCGCATACAAGGAGAATGTAATAAAAGTAACAAATATTGAAAACAATTTGATATTCAACTAACATGTTTACAATCTTTCATCACCTTCGAAATAGCATTTACATAGCTATGCCATTTATACATTGAAATTATCTCTTCTAACATTAATTACTTTAAATCGATTATAATTCTCTCATGTTCGTTTAAATGTACATGTAAATTATAACGTATATATCCTTTTTGAAAACATAATGAACCATTTAGTATTAAATAAATAAAATCATGTGTTTTCTTCAGACATTAATCGTAATAATCGAAAATAATCAAAATCTAACGATCCATTTAATGATCCAAAATACGTAGATTACCAGATACAATCTTATTTTCTAAAATTGTACCTGATGGAAGATCGATACGCTCTCCATGATTAGCGATAATGATAACAGTTCCTTTGAGAGTCACTCCTTTTCCAAAAGTAACGTCACCAGACACAGTCAAGTGATCTAATTCTAACAGGTCAGGTATAGTTGGGAATCTGGTGAGGAATTCTTTGACCTAAAATAAAAGATTTATCACTTATTTAACATATAAGCAAGAAAGTAGAGACTTTTTATAGGGTTCAATGAGGATAATGACCTTGGAGAAATGGTTATCGCCTAGCTTTATAAGAGGTGTTGTAGGGAACATTCGCTGAGGACTCATCGCTAAGGAACCATTGCGCAAAGTATACAAATTACTCATGACAAGCATCAAATCTGAGGTCTTCTTTACTGGCAAAAATCTGCTACGTGGCACATTTATACCTAAAATACAGTCAACATTACGTTATAGCAGTATCATACAGAAGCTCTACAAAGAATAAAAATTCTGGATTTCTTACCAATACTTCCTTCGAATGACTTCATTGCAGCCCCCACAGCTGTTTCCAGCTGAATAATATTCAGACCATTTGAAAATGTCTTATTGTTGACAATAATTTCCATGTTTAAAGAATTTGATGAAAGTAGTCTATCGACAGCTGCAAGAATTGTTAGCGTTACAACTATGAGTCACGCTATGAGAAGAAATAAACACACGTACCACTAAGTTTTATCCACAAGTTATTTGTATTGAAAAACTTGAATGTCTTTACAGATTTAAAGTCATCTACGTGATCTTTTGGAACTTGTGCGATTTCAAGCAGACGGAGTTTGTCTTCGTATTTGATCAACGTTCCTCCCTACAAGGACATATAAAAATCTATAATTGGATAAAAGTTGGATAAAGAGTAATTAAATTATTTATTTTAGATTTGTAAAATATAGAATGGTTTGTTCTTAAGAAGTTACATTTCAAAATATATAAATATATTCTATCGTATAAAAGAAATTTTATTACCTTCACATCAGCTCGAGTTTTGTCAGTCACCTCCATAAGAAACTCGAGAGGAGGTGCTTCACGTTTCTCCAATAATAATTTCAAAATTTTGAAATCTACAGTCGCGCCCAAATTATCAATGTTTGAAATGAAACAATACTCGCGTCCCTATATAAACACGACACTCATTATAATTAATCGTATCAATCTACAATATTATTCTTAATTAACACATATTGAGGTAATGAAATATACTTCTTTCAAAAATTTGTTCAGTAAACCTGAATTTCGAAAACTTTGGTAGAAATCTCCGTGACCTGGAGGATACCACCTGCAAATGAAATTAATATTGGTTTATACATGTAATTTTATATTTATTGTAAAGATATAGAAACATTGGAGATTGATCTTACGCTTCGATATCATCTTGGACATCACAGTGTTTAGCAATTGGAAGCAAAGAATCTCTGTTGATACGAGGGTAGCAGCTTTGATTGAATGTTTGAATATCTATATCTATTCCTTTGTATTTTCTTATGATTCGTTGTGTGTCCTCATCGGTGTTGAAAGAATTCATCAGAATGAGGGGTACATTGGCATTGTAAGTTTTGTTCAAATACTGTTTACGGAAAGAAATGGTTGTTAGTTCTTTAGTTCTCTGGTTAGTTTTCTTTAACTTTATTATAATGTAATTGTACATGTGTTACCTCAATTTGCTGGACAGTAAGATCGAGAAAAGTGAGACCATTGCGAACTGCGATTACAGACTTTGGCCCGTGGCATCCCATGCTAGTTCCAAGTCCTCCATTCAATTTAATAACCACTAACTTATTTAACAGGGCTCTCACTTCTTCTCCTTCTGGGGTCGGCAAAGAATTGTAATCTCTTATCTGAAAATTTTTGAAAGTAAATTGTAATTTTTTAACGAGTTTAATTTGGTAGCACTGTACTGTCTGGATGGTAACATTACAGGGGAATCCCAGGGCTAGTAATGGTCTCCACTTGCGCATACGCACTGATGATACATCTGAGAATTGTTTCAAATTTCCTCAGTACAAATCTAAATTGTAATGCAATTTTTGGATTATTAATCGCTTATCGATAGAAATATAAAAGAATTGGGACCACGCATCGTTTCCTACAGCTACTGCACGCGTATGCGCGAGTGGCAGCCATTATTTAAAATAAATAAATAAATAAGATTGATTTACCGCATCGTCTGGAAGCTTCTGTATACGATCCCATTCTAACGAGGGGCCTTCCTCTGCAAGGAACCTTTGAAAGAGTTCGGTGAAGCCGTTGAATTGTCGCTGAAATTCCTCCTTGACCTCCCCTGTCGCTGTCCCCTCGAGTTTCTCCAATTCACGTTGAAGTTCGATCAGGGCATCGCGTTTGGTCCTCTCACGAAATGCCTGTGTATCTGAGGGACTGCGTTGATGACCACGTGCCTGCGGATTCGTTCACCAAGAGAGGATAGAATATGAACAATAAATACCTTTCCCTTTGAGCAATTTTATCCCGTTATCGGCGCCATCCAATTTCGCGAATTTTTGCATGGTTCTGGACACGATTTATTCTTTAAAAATGTCAATTGATTATGTATTTTTTGAAAGAAAGCAAGAAACAATTGGCGATCGGTTGCACAAACTATCGTTTTTTTTTTTAAATTATAACGAACTGAATTCGATCGAGGTTCCAAAAACAATGCACGAATTACAATTTATAATTTTCCTGGTTTTTTTTTTATGAAATCGAAATGTATTTTAGGTTTCGTCGTAGAAATCCTGAAGTAAACATATTTACGGCAATTTCGCGTATTCATAATTCATATTATATAAGAAATTTAAATTTTAGTGCCTGTATTTGTGGAAAAGAAGAGGATCTTAAATGGTATCAAGTGAACCAAAATGGCCGACCCTCGGAATATCGTGGTTCACGCTAAATGGCGCCACTGATGCTGCGGCCCAAAAAGGTGCATTAGGTTAATTGGCATGAGATAGAATTAAGACTTTTGGCGAAAGAAAATAAAAAGAATTAAAAATTTGTTAGAACTTTAAAAGATAAAGGAGATGGAAAAATATTTTTTTTTTACTTGTATAAGTGTAAATATGATGCAGCAAGTTTAACGTTTAATATCTGATAAATTTATAATTACTATATATTTATAAACTAATTTGATGACATTCCGAGTAAAGATAATGTCTGTTTAAACATTTTTAACAAATGTCTCGTTTTTATCCAAAAATAAAAAAGAAAACAGACAATATTATCCCTATTTGTTTTTTGAAATGACTAAAATGGAATTGTTGAGAACGTTGACCTTGATAACACATGTCAAGGTCATTGGAATTCTCATCTCGACCATACTATACACTTGAAAAAAGTACAGACAGTACAGACAAAATATATACATTCCTTGTCAACATTAAAATCTTGTCATCATTAACAATTCGCACAGACGAAAGAATGAAAAATTCATAAAAAAAAGATTCCCAATGATATAACATTTCCTAATGCAGATGTTATCTGTCAAACGTCAGTCGTGACGACGTACAAACGTCCCTAATTGTCCTCATCGCGAATAGGTGTCAGGTCGAGCAACGTTGAGTGCTTCTGTTGATTGATAATAAAAAGTACTAAACGCAAATAAAACTCTAAACAGAACGACTATATTTCGCTAAACTTTTAATTCGTTAAAGATAAATTTCAAAATTAAAGAATCTAATTTTAGTTCGCACATGTACAACCGATCGTTTGACATTGCTTCCAGAAACAACACACTCACTTCGATAAAATAGTGACTCTATAGAGCAAAAATAGCTTCAATTAATTCACTGAACGACGATTTTCCAACGTTTAAGGTTTAAGGCACTCGCGGCTCCAAATCGAGCGCGAACCGATACGACCGGAGCGAAGATGACCGACACGACGCGCGCACGTGAGTCGACACTCGACTGAAAAGTGTCTGTCGTCACGCAAATCAGCGACTCACGAAAGACAACTGGCTAACCGACTCTAACGAGTGTATCTCGTCTTAGAGGAATAACGTACGATATCTCGCCATTATCTCCGCGACCTCCGGACGCGGTTTGTTATCATAACGGCCTGGAGCGGCCCGGTGACCGCTGTTTTGTTTATCGGACGATTCATGAACGATCCCGATCGTTCGTTTTATGACTGACTGGGTAATTGTTTCTGTAGCTAATGGAAGGAATTACGCTTGCAGTTCTTATCTAATGCATAGTTGAAAAGGGGGAGACAGGAAAATTTCAGTACGTAGAAAATTCGAATTGCAAGTAACGAGGAGTGACCGGAAACTGCGAGTCTTTAGGTGAAGATTTTGGAAAAAAAAAAAAAAAAACTAACTGTCGGAAGAGAGTATTTTTTAGCAGTTTTTGGCGGGAAAGTATGTAAAGGTTGCATCATTGTCAATAATTGTATAGCTCTTTTAATAATGAACATTTTTAATCGAAATTTTGTTTTCATTGTAGGTCTCATAGAACCCTGCTAGAAAACCCACGTTTTTAAAAATTATTTTCCACTTCCTCGGTCAAAATGAAGCATATCTTGTCAAATAATATACAAGCGCAACCTCTATTGTTTATGAGAAAAAAATTCCTAAAGAAAAGAAAGATTAATGTTTTGACAAATAGCGATTCACGAAAAATGTTCTTATAGGATTCGTTTTTATTTCAAAACGTTTTGCGGCTGATTGAGTAATAGCTCTGGAGCTTCTGGAGGAATTAGGCTTGCAATTGTTATCTAATGCATGCTCAAATGCGAAGATAGGAAAATTTCTTATGTAGATGGAAAATTTTCTCGATAAAACACAGTCGATTCTTTCATTTGGAGCAGTTAATTAGTATACTGGCGTCTTCAATCTACACATGTGTTAAAGTCAAGGTCTTCTACGATCTGGAACGTACATGCAATGTGAAACTTTAGAACCACGATACGTAGTATTAGATATATTTTTACTAATATCCTGGAAACTAAAGCCGAGTGGCGGTTATTATTGTAGGAAATGATTATTCAGAGTGTTAACCTTGAGAGAATAGTCCAAGGTCATCGAAAACAACGAGATAAAATATTCCAAGTAATTTGCAAAAATGTAATTTATCGAAATGTAAAAAAAAAATTATAGGAAGATAACAAATACAAGTTAATTATTTTAGAATATTATTTCAATTTTTTAAACTTTAGATTTATGATGTATTATAAAATGACGAGTAATTCTTTCAATTAATCGTAGATAAGATTAAGTAAAAGTACTGATAAACGTACAAATTATTTGGCAATTACTCACAAATTTTTATTGACTCTTGTATTCTTTCGATTAATCAAAGATAAGGTTAAATAAAAGGATTGATAAATGCATAAATTCTGTATCAATCTTTTAAAAACTTTTGATAACTCTCGTATGTACTCTTTTAATTAATCTGTTGGCAATTTAATGCAATTCATTCGAATAATTTAACGATAACAATCGTAATAAACGAGATAAAATAAAAACGTAAGATGCAAAATTCGCAGGTAGCCTAATAATGAACATTTTGGAGTGAAACTTTTTTTCGTTGTTGATTTCATAGAACCCTATACAAAATGTATACAAAGTTTTCCCCTAAAATCAAAACCCAATTTCATAAAGGCTCTTTGTAAATTTACTTAGTTACTAAGTATAAATTTTACGTTTTACCATAAACAATACATTTTCTTTTTACATTCTTTGAAATTCTTTTGGTATTATTTAACATGTGTACAATTTGTTTTAAACATATTTTAAAAATAGTAATTTACAATACTTCATGAACAGATAATAGAAAAGTTAAACAAACAGATGGAAGTTACCAGTGTTTAAGAATTGAATGCTCATGCTATAGGTGAATCGACAGCAATGATGCATCATGTTGAGTATTACTCAGCGAAATCAGAAAAAGAACAGGAATCATAGAAATAAAGATAAGCACAAAATCGCCGCGTAATACACATAGATTTAAGGAAAAATGGATAAGGCAAAATTGTAAGAAAAATGATTGACAATGAATAATGAATATAGAATAATCAGTGATAAGTGGAACGAAGACTTTTGTACTCCATTATCTGTGATAATACAGAAAAGAAGCTTACATAACATTTCTATGCAAAATTAAAGACTCTTTAAATATGGTTTAAGACACTTTTAAAGATGTTTGTGATTACCATGGTATAAATTTATGGTGTGTTAGAAAAGTTATATCATCTTTATTAGATTGAATGACAAATGGTACGTATGCAGAATGGTTTTTATTTGGAAATCTGTATCATAAAAGTATCTATATTGTAAGAATGATTAACTTTCTTTCTAGGAAGGTTTCAGTATTTGTCATTATTAGTTTGAGCATAACAAGACAAACAGTGACTTATGACCACTCTATCGATACGCTAGTTTCTTGAACTTTCTGAGAGCTGAAGCAGATTACTGGTGATCGAACACCAAATGCAATGGACAGTGAGCCAGTTTTCAACCACATATGTTGAAATTGATTTGAAGTTAGATTAAACACTTGAGATTATCATGCTAAGGTATCAGTTCTTATTCTATTAGCAAAGATAGCAATTTTTGTCTAAGAATCTTTTTTATTTTGAGCTGATGAGAAGAGTAAACAAGATACAAAAGTGAGATAAGGCAATAATAGTGATGATGATTCCAATTAACTATAAGTTGCTGAATAAACAATTCTATCGGTTAATGAGTTGATAATCTATAATATTGGCGAAAACAAGTCTTAGTATAGTGTTGATAGTAAAGTAATAAAATGTTCCAAATGGAAAGCAAATTAAATGTAAGCAGAGATTGCTTAAGATAGATCAAAGTGGACACCCTAATGTTTAATTAAAACCAAAATGTGAGACATATTATGTGTTACATATGATTTAACGTATTATCCATTTAATTTTAGTATCAGAATTAATTATAGTACATGGTGACAGCTACAGATAACCTTCTATTCTAAGCATGTGTGTGTTATAGCGATAATCCACACATTCACTTACTATTTCTGGAAAACTATGTTTAATATTTACATAACTATCTATTTACAAATGTCGCAAAGATACTCTCAAAGGTGATTTAAACTTAAAAGAACTAGTGATACTATTCAGCTTTTGTGAACATGAAACATTGAAAACAAGAATGATTTGATTAGAAGAATATTTGTGGTAGGAATGTTGTTAGGAAAAGAATAAAAATTAAATAACCTTAAAATGTCCCAAAAACTAGCCTTGTAAATAAGTAGTGGTATGAAAAAGTAATAAATAGTAATATTAAAATTTAAAAGTATCTATTGTGATAAAAAAAAAAAACAGAAAAATAACGGACTGTAATCGAGTAACATTAAAAACACAAAATAACTATTAAACGATGGTTTTTGCTGACATTTCAGGATAAAATGGCGGGGACAAGGGATGGAATAATGCTTTACCTTTCTGTCATCCACTTGAAGCATTGTTAGAAACTGCTTAGCACAACAGAACTTCCTTTCTAACGTTCGTCTTTTGCAATCTCACAGATGATACAAATAGAAAAAGCTTTGGATTCAAGTCAATGTATTTGGATTTCGTATTATCTGTATATAGCAGGTGTGCTCAATATGGGGATCCTTTAATTTCTTGAATAGTGCGTATGCCTACGTACATGTGTACACGCATTATTAATTGGGTGCAACCAAAAGGGTTGTCGCTCGCTGAGCCGCTTAGTGAGCGGGTGAGCTTACAAATTATTCGCTTTCACCGCTCTCTGTAGCTATTGGGTGCATTCAAACAGGCACCGCTCACTAAGTGCACACTGAGTATTCACTGAATGGATTTTTTTTGCATAGAAACAAGTGGAAACAAATCAATTTTTTTTAATGGAACCTTCTTTATTTTTATTCATATTACAGGGTGTCCCAAAAATGTTGTACCACCTTGAAAGAAGTGGTTCGGGAGGTGATTTGAAACAACTTTTTCCTTAGCGAAAATATTGTCCAAGGCTTCGTTGAGGAGATATTAACGGAAAACACTGACCAATCAGAGCGCGCGGATACCGTTGGAGCGTCCGCGGTAGCGAAGGC